CTATCAAATTACCAACAGCATTCTTCAAGGAATTGGAACAAATAGTTCAAAAATTCATGTGGAACCGCCAATGACCCCATATAGCCAAAGCAATCCTGAGAAGGAAGAATACAGTGGGGGGAGGATCTTGCTTCCCAACTTCAAGCTCTACTACAAAGCCACAGTAATCAAGACAATTTGGTACTAGCACAAGAACAGAGTCACAGACTAGTGGAACAGAATAGAGACGCTAGACATTAACCCAAACATATATGGCCAATTAATATATGATAAAGGAGCCATGGACAATCAATGGGGAAATGACAGTCTCTTCAACAGATAGTTCTGTCAAAACTGGACAGCTACATGTAAGAGAATGATACTGGATTACTGTCTAACCCCATACACAAAAGTAAACTCCAAATGGATCAAAGACGTTAATGTAAGTCATGAAACCATTAAACTCTTAGAAAAAAACATAGGCAGAAATCTCTTAGGCATAAACATGAGTGACTTCTTCATGAACATATCTCCCTGGGCATGGGAAACAAAGGCATAAATGAACAAGTGGGACTATATCAAGCTACAAAGCTTCTGTACAGCAAAAGATACCATCTGAAGAACAAAAAGGTATCCTACATTATTGGAGAACATATTCATAAATGACAGATCCGATAAAGGATTGACATCCAAAATATATAAAGAGCTCACACACCTCAACAAACGAAAAGCAAATAATCCAATTAAAAAATGGGCAGAGGAGCTGAATAGACAGTTCTCTAAAGAGGAAATCCAGATGGCCCGCAAGCACATGAAAAGATGCTCCACATCGCTGATCATCAGAGAAATGCAAATTAAAACCACAGTGAGATATCACCTCACACCAGTAAGGATCGCCATCATCGAAAAGACAAACAACAACAAATGTTGGTGAAGGTTTGGACAAAAGGGAACCCTCCTACATTGCTGTGGGAATGTAAATTAGTTCAACCATTGTGGAAAGCAGTATGGAGTTTCCTCAGAATGCTCAAAATAGAAATACCGTTTCACCCAGGAATTCCACTTCTAGGAATTTACCCTAAGAATGCATCACTCCACTTTGAAAAAGACAGATGCACCCCTATGTTTATTGCTGCACTATTTACAATAGTCAAGATATGGAAGCAACCTAAATGTCCATCAGTAGATGAATGGATAAAGAAGATGTGGTAGATATACACAATGGAATATTACTCAGCTATAAGAAAAAAACAGATCCTACCATTTGCAACAACATGGATGGAGCTAGAGGGTATTATGCTCAGTGAAATAAGCCATGGGGAGAAAGACAAGTACCAAATGATTTCACTCATATGTGGAGTATAAGAACAAAGGAAAACTGAAGGAACAAAACAGCAGCAGCATCACAGTACCCAAGAATGGACTAATAGTTACCAAAGGGAAAGGGACTATGGAGGATGGGTGAGAAGGGAGTGATAAGGGCGGGGAAAAAGAAGGAGCGCATTACGATTCTTATGCATAGTGTGTGGAGGGCACGGGGAGGGCTGTGCATCACAGAGAAGACAAGTAGTGATTTTACCGCATCTTACTTCGCAGATGGACAGTGACTGTTAAGGGGTATGTGGGGTGGACTTGTTGAAGGGGGGAACCTAGTAAACATAATGTTCTTTCTGTAATTGTAGATTATTGATACCAAAATAAAATAATAAAATAAAATAAAAATAACAAACAAATAGTGTTATACTAAAAAAAACAAAAGCTTGATTTGCAAAGAGAGGTGGCAGGTTGCAGATTGCTGACTATTGTTTTAGACTATTATACCTGAAAACAAAAGTTTCAAAAAAGAAAGCATTTGAAATGAGGGTTAATTCGAATCTATGGTGCAAGAAGAGTTTGGATTTTGAGGAAAAACTATCATAAATCAGTATTATTACAGCCAATAAGTTATCTTACTGTTCGGTATGAAAAATGGTTTTAAAGCTCTTTAAGCTAGAATATATAAAAGGAGTCTTCAGTTTATGGAGTCCTAGTTAATTGCATATGGCCTTAGGGGTACATGTAATTGACATACAGGAAGATAATCCACAGTGAATTCCAGAGTGGGAAGAAGGCAAGCTTATAGAAGAGTATATATAGTATTTATGTAATATTGTCCACATTAGATATATTTATATATGCACAGAAATAGGAAAAGCCATAACAATATGCTGGGTGTTGGAATTTGAGCCTTATTTTACTTTTTACTTTACTGTGTTTGAGTTTTTTAAGTTAAGTATTTTTTTTGAAATGAATAAATCTATTAAAATGTGAATCAGGACTTAGCATCTGAACTTTCATAATTGAAGGAGATATGTCTGTGTGTGTGTTTGTGTACATGTATGTGTATATATATATAGTCATTACATATAGCTTGGTAAAGAAAGCCTGAAAATACATTTGATGTTATCATTTAAAATTTTCAGAATCCTAGATTTGTCAAACTAGTAAGCAGTGTAATTGCTTTGGCACTCTGTATTTATTTGCTCCTGGCACCAAATTATTGTAAAATTGGGAAGCCTTTAGAGACAAATTGCAAGACATAAATGCATTTGTACTGCCAATGAGAGGTCCTCTGAGTACAGTGTGAATGGAGGCTTTTTTTGACTAGTAGGGGATGCTTTATTGCAATAAAATGAAGAATGTTTGGAGGAAGAATGAATAGAAAATGAAGTAATAAAAGTGGTGAAGGTATTTAAACAGACTTATTCCAGTGTCAGCTCAGTCATTTACTGTTGCATGACTTTAGACAAGTCATTTGTGCCTCAGTTTTCATGTCTTTAAAACAGGGATAATAGCTATCTGCCTTGCAGGATTGCTATGAGGATTAAATGAAGTAATACTTATAAAGTGCCTGGCGTATAGTAGTACCCTGTATGTGATAACTATGTTTTATTTTTAGGTTCACTTGATTATATCTCTGTGTTGAGAGCCATCTCACTATCTAATGTTCTTGTAGTTACTGGTCTGTAGCCTTACTTGAAAATTATGTCACAATTATGTGCCAGACCCTTTACTCTGTACCAAGCCCTATGCTAGGCACTGGGTTTGATGAACAAAACAAGCATCTTCCCTGTTCTCATGGAACTTATACTCTGGTGAGACAGTTGGACATGAGCAGACTTCTATAAATAAATATAAAATTGCAGCTGTAATAAGAACCACAATCGAAAGATATAGGACACCATACAGTAAGGGAAATTTGACCTAGGAAAGGGAAATCAAGGAAAGATTCCTTGAGAAAATGATGATTGAGCAGAGATCTGAAGGATGAATAGGTGTTAACTAGGTAAAAGGGGAAGGAATATGATTCCAGAAAGAAAGAACAGCATACACAAAAGCCCTGTATGATGAAAGGGCATGAAGGGACTGAAAGTAGGACAGTCTGGCTGACTGAAAAGAGCAGAGAGGAGTTGGTGCACCGCGAATCTAAGGAGGTAGGTAGGGTCTTAAAAGTGGTGATATAGGTAACTTCATCTTTATTTTGAGAAAGATGGATGGCCATTGAAGCCATAGAGTTATTGACATGATCAAATTTGCTTTTTGAAAAGATCACTGAGACTTGAGGCAAGAAGAAAGGATTACTGGGGGTTAGGGTAGACATTGGTAAACCAATTAAGAGTTAGGCATAGTATTCCAGATAAAGAGAAGTTGGGATGAAGAGAAGTGAACAGATTCCTGAAAGTGTTTAAGAGAAAAAATGGACTGGATTTAGATCTGGAATGGTGTATGACAGAGGGGAGGTCTCAAGGCTAGGTTTTAGGCTGGTATAATTGCCTGTCATTCCAGTGTAACAATCACCAAGATGGGAAACATAAGCAGGCACTGTTTTTTGGTAGAGGAAATATCATGTTTAGTTTTGTCATATGAATTTGAGATGCCTTTGAAATGTCCAAGAGAAGACTAAGTATGACAAGTCCTCTTCTAATTGAGTTTTTTAAAAATAAAAATAGCACTGTTATTGTTTGTAAAATAATAATGTTCATTATAGAATTTAATCAATGCAGAAAAGTACAAATTTTAAAATACCACCTTCAAATCCACCACCCAGAAATAATTGTCACTAACTTTACATGAACATTATTTCAAGTATCTTTCTATATCTGTATATGGATACATGGAAATACTTTATAAAAATGTGATAATACTATATGTGCTGTATTGATTCAGAAATATTAAATTTAATATCATTTAAACAGAGCAGAAACACTGATATGAAGAAAGGATGGCTAAACTCTTAAGTAAACTGGTTTTTCACCTCAAAAGAGAGTGTCCTTCATTCTAGAGTCAAGCTAAAAACCTTTATCTTAACTTCAGTTTAAAACTTTAATTGAAAGTTTAGTTGAAAGGGTTTGAGCTTGACCATCAATTTAGAAGAATGAAGCATTTGAGACTGATACCAAGCTCTTCTTTAAGGGGAGAATTATTAACTTCCATTAGACTTATCATTCCCATGTGCATAAGATTTCAGTAATCTGTGTACATATGCATAATTACAATGTGAGATGAAAAGAAAAGTTACGCAGGAATATATTTTCTCAATACTGCCAGAAAACATAAATGTCTTAAGTTTAAATTTCCAAAAATATAACAGGAATGTCAGACTTTAAGATATTGAGTAGAAGAGGGTAATGAGGTGACATTTATTGGGCACCTACTATATGCCAGGCTCTTTCCTCTGTGCCACAGTAAATCATGCTCTTCTGTGTCCAAATAATTATGTAGTAAGATTGGCTATTGTCTGTGGTGCTGAATGAGAGAACGCTTGAGACTGGCAGAAGGAAATAAAAATAGAAGAATAGTGCTATCATGAGGAAAGGAGACACTAAACTGTGAACAGAGATTTAGCAGGGTCTTGGAGTAATTTGCATCTGTGTTGAATACTTGTCTCATTATTAACTTGCTTAGTGGTGCTGTGTGTTACCAATTTTGAAAAGCGTCTACCAAATAAACTGATCTTTTGTTTTTATTTTTCTTTTTGTTAGAATACTACATCTACTATGGGATACACATCAACATGGATTTCTTCTCTGTCCCAAATACATGGAGCTGTCCCAACCTCCTTGCCACAAGGACTCTCACTCCCTTCATTTCCTGGGCCATTATCATCATATGGAATGTCCCATGTTTCTCAGTTTAATGCTGTGGGGGGTCCAGCGTATCCAGTACAGTGGGTAGGAATTTCAGGAACACCACAACAGTCTATAGTAATTCCTACCCAATCTGGGGGACCATTCCAGCCAGGGATGAATTTTCAGGTGTTTCCAGCTTCCTCAATGCAGAATCCATCCACAATTCCACCTGGTCCCAAATGAATCAGAGTAGATGATGAAGAAAAGGGACATTTTTTTCAGAATAATTTTCAGGACGCCTAAGACATTAAAGTTCTTCTTGGGTTCTGCCATATTTTCCCTCATTTGAGTTGACTTTCCACTGTATTTTGTTGTTATTCCAATGTGGTATTTGATATAGCTCATCATTCTGTTGAACTGTGCAGTTTGTACATAGAATACTGCATACAGAAATGTTTTTCACTTCAAATCTATCCTCTTTGATACTTGATTTTTTAAAAATACTCTTCAGAATGCTTTAATAAGCTCAGCTTGAGCATTACCATTTCCAGGACACCTTCCGTGAATTGCTAAGAAGGCCCCATTTTTTACTGCTGCTATGTGCAGCTTGATGATACTTTTATTTAGAATGTATAAATACTATTTACATTGATATTCCTCAAACATGAACGAAAGTGAGACCCTCCAACAGCCTGAATCTTATGGGATTCTTCACACATTTATCTTAGATTTACCATTCACAGAAGGCAGAGTAACTTACTGCAGGAAGCATTTTGGTATATAAAATTAGAGTAACTTTGTCAACCAATGTAGACCATAAGCCATTTTTAATGTGACTTTCTTCCCGTCACAGCAGTAGGAGTGAAGCCTTGTTTTAGCTGAGGCGGAGAGAAAGGAAAAAAACAGAACTGTAACAGTTCCTTGATTCTGCAGGTACTGTAGCTGCTTTGGGATTTCGATAGTAATTCAAAGCAGCTATCTCCTTGTTTCTCATGTGCACAATACATTGTTTTTGAGCATCTGAGAGGCATTGGTTTGGCTTGCATTCTTTTGCAAGGGGTATACTGCAACTGACATGAATCTCATTTTGGGGGAATCTTTGTATTCCTAACTAAGAGCATTCAAGTTACACCTCTGTCCATTCTTCTGAAGTGAAATTTACTTGACACAGGTTTTGCAGGTTTTTTGAGACTTATACATGAAACACTGGCTTTACAGGCTTCTGAGTGATGTGGGGTGGGGTATACACTGTCCTGCAGTGAGATAGTAGACCCTCGAAGGATACTATTTAAGTTGCCCTCAACTTTGTTTTTGCATTACCATTTTTTTTAGCCATTATAATTTCTTGTTAATATCTATAGCATCTTAGATGGTTTTGGAACTTAGATTATTTTGGCAGCCTCTTTAGAATCTGAGAGACATCACTGTCAAATTGCACTTTACTGGGTTTTATTCAGTCTTTGGAGGAGGGGAGGCAATGTCAAAATATACACTTCGGTTTTCAAAAAGGTTAACTGTAATAATCTTAAAAGGCTGGTCACAGAGTTATCTAATGCTCAGTCTGTGAAACCCAAATAGAATTCTTAAATGGGGTTTATCAACTACTACATATACATGGTAAAAATACCCACTTTCCCCTCTGAAGATTTCAAGGTTGTTTCTGGTACACATTTACCTAATAATGAGTTCTGTCTACTGGTAAACATTCCAAATTATCACCCAACATTTCTGTTAACAGATTTTCCTCCTTATTGTGCTAAAACTTTACCCCATGAGCTTGCCAGGTAATGAGAAAAACTTAATGGATATATATATATATATATATGTATGTATTTTTTTTTTGCACAGTCTACTTTGCAACATTCAGTACCCTTTTTCAAAAAATACATCTTATATTGCTTACCTGAGGCTCACACTCACCATTGCAAAGATTCTGTTGCTATCATTTGGGGCATCTAGGGCAGCATTTTTGAGAACTGCTGTTGATAAAAGCCACAGTTTTTTTTTAATAAAACGTACTCTGTTTTAGATGAGTCTTTCTAAATCTTATGTACAGATTCTTCAAATTTTTTCTACAGTATTGGTTTGCAAATTGCAGTGCTTTTAGGATGTTAGTGTAAGACACATGCTTGCATTGCAGTGTTTCCCATGTGTACAGAAACAATGCACCTGAAATCCATAATTCTTTAAAACTGCTCGTGTTTCATTATAAAAGTTGACTTTGTATAATTACATTGAGACTTAACAACCTCTGAAGTGAAAATATTGCAGGTCTTAAGATCCCTTGTGCTCTAGTGGCAATCCTTTTAAACAGTGTATCCCCGGATGAATAAAGCCCCATGGATGACATGCACAATTACATTTATTAATGGCTGCTCTGTCCTATGTCCCACATTTTGCCACTATCTCTGTTTTATGTATAATTCATCATCTGTTTGCCTGCAGACTTTTGCAGTGCCTTGTAATATTTAGAATCTTTTCAGATTTTTTGCTGGAAAGAAAAATATTCTTCTAAAGTTTGAAGATGGTGAATAGTATACTGCTGCCTCCATGCTGACTGCAGTAGTTGGGTTAACATAAGTTATATATACAATATGTATATGTAACGTGTAAATTTAAAAATACAGAAAAAGGTGAGTGTGCAGAAATGAAGAAAGCAGTGTTATTCACATCACTGTGGCTTTTTATTTATTTTTTCCCATTAAATATTTGATTCAAATAATAGTGACTGACTGTAAATATTGGCTAGTTTTCTACCTAGGGGTTTTACATTATTTCATGATTTTGCTAACTCATATAATAGTGCTGTTTTCATCCTTGCTGAGGTACTTTTCCTCCCCAGAAATAAATAATTCTTGAGGCAAAGCTCAGAAATTCCCTTCTTACTTAACAAAGAGCCTACTATATAGTAAGGGCCTTCTAGCCATTTCCCAAAAAATACACAAACCTGTCCTTTTCATTTTCCTTCTTACGGAAGAGAGAGATTGTACTAAACCATCCTGCTTGTAAAGTTTATTTGGGGGGTAGTCTGTATATCCAACCACCATATATACTTCTCAAAGTGCAAGTCTAATGAATAGTACTGTATCTCTGTATGTGGCAATGTGAGCATTTCATCATGAAGTATGTGCTGCTATGTTTGTGAAGTTGGGTGTAACATCATAAGAATATGAAACCAGTATTGGTGTAAATCTAATGAAAATAATCCTATGTATATTTGTAGCAGTCTTGAATCTCTATTTAAGGTAATTTGTTGTAATATAACAAATATTCATTCTGTTTTTCATCCTTGTCAGTTTTATATCAAGCATGAATTCTAATGGTCCGACAGCAAAATTATCTGTGAAAGTTTAAAAGGCACTTTTCCGCTGTGATTTCTGGATTGAGTGTGGCGTGTTTTGTACAGAATGATGGGATGTATCATTTTAGAACCCCAGATTTAATCCTGGTCCAATTACTTTTATTTATCTACCTCGTTTTTAGTGCTGTTTTGGGGTGCACAAGTAAACACTGACTGTGAAACTTGATTTTTTGCCTTGATTCTCAGTATTCTTTCAGGTTATAAATCTGACCTTCCTCCTCATCCCAATGCTAACTGAGTTTGAGATGAGAAGGACCATCACTTTGCCACCAATCTGTGTTTTAAGTGACAAGAGCCATGTGCCTCTGCAAAATAAGCTTTTTGGGAATGGAGAGCAGAGAAATAAATACAGCTGGTGGCAATATAGGGCTTAGTTGTAGGATTTATTTGTAAACAAACTTTAAGAAAGTAACCTAAATTAGTCCAGTGCCTGTAACTTTGTATCTTTTATTAGAGATGCATTTCTCATCTGTGTGCCTAAAGGGTTATGGGTTGAAATTGCTTTAACTACTACAATGAAATATTCAACAAATCCTACAGTAGTCTGTCATTCAGCATATTAGCATACTGCTAAGTATTCACAGTATTTTGTTACCTTAAAATGACTGTATTCTTTATCTGAATTGTCCTTGGTGGTAACCATCAATCTCTACAGTTAATTGGAGCCATTAACTCTCTTTGCTGTCTTTCCTGAGTGATGAAAATGATGCATTCCTTTGTTTTCCCAGAAGACTCAGCTAATGTTTGTAAACTACATGTTCCTTATTTCACATGTTTACTGTGTGTAACACTACAGCATATTTAATGTTAGTAAATACTGTATTTCAGGCTTCATTCAAAAGTACATTCCTGAGGTATGTTTGCCATCACTTTGGGGTTCAGTTATTTAATATTCTGTTTGATTCAGAAAATCGAGCTATTTGAGGTGGTTTGCAGGCCATTTTCTAGAATAGATTGTTCATTTTTCATTCTGTAGTTTTTGGGGACTTGTTTTTCCCCCTTTATTTAGAAGATGAACCAGAAAGGGGTTGGGAAGTAGCAAAGGCCACTGATTTGGTAAATGTAATTTCTGGGATTCAAATTAAAAAAAATAATAACCCAGACGTAAAAAGGTGACACTCATACTTATAAAATCCTTCGAAATGAAATTAGTATTAAATTTTTATGGAGCCAGATGCTTTCAGGTCACCCTGGGAAGAGTCTTTGTATGTGAAGGATAAATGCAAACATTGGTCAGGGTCCTTGACAGCCAACATAGGCAGGAGTCTGGGATAGTAACTAGGTTACACCGAAGGTATTTTCAAACAAGATAGCCAGAAGAGTGCACAAAGAGCTTCCATTCTAGAAGGTTCTCTTTTAATTAAAAAACAAACAAAAAGGCTAAAAGTCAAGCAAGAAGGGAAGAGAAAAACTGGGCTTTTGAGAAAAAATCGTGCCAGTGTAAAATAAACTCCTGAATGTGTGCTTGTCGTCCTTCCCAGTTTTTAAGTTGCATTTCTTTTCCGCTATAATTTAAGATTTCAGATTGAGGTTTGTGGTCCAGACATACCTTCAGCAGAAATGTGACTGATTGGAAAGTGCAGTTGTTCAAGGTCTGTCATGCTCAATCATTTAAAACTGTCATTTGTTCGATATGAATATTAAGCATGTAGACCTAGTGCAGCATGGGATCCACTCAGGAAGTTTATGCAATTAATAAACTTTCATGCATAATTTACTATGAAGTATGCAGAATTTCAGCCACTTCTCTACATTTAACATTTAGTTGTAAATGTGAACTCTCCTTTCTTAATTGGGGAATGTAGCATTATATAGAATGTTGTTAAACTTAATTTTTAATCCTTCCTGACATTAACTTTTTGTTATTGTTGTTGTTTGTTTATTTGTTTTTTGTTTTTGTTTTTTTGGTAAACCAAGTGATCTGCCTTTAAGCAGTTGTTTGATTTTGGTTCTTTGAAACTGTGATTTTTATTTCCTTTGTACCCAACCATTGTATTTCATTTTGTTTTCTGGAATTTTGTTTTGAAACAGAAAATAAAGGCTGTGTTAAAATGAGTATGTTCTTTATTTACCAAATGTAATTTAGCACATTTCTTTATCCGGCTGAAACTGGTTCTTTATTTACCAAATGTAATTTAGCACATTTAAAAAATTTAGTCCTATAGATGATGCTGACTAAACAAACTAAGCAAGCTGTGTGTGACCTCTGTTTTGAGTTGGATCTATTCTCCACACTTGTCAATGAGCCTTAATTATAATAGTCACTGTGATTTACTGAGTACCTGCTGTGTTAGTTTGGATTTTACCTATGATATTTTTAATTCACAAAACAATCCTATATCCTATAAGATCGGTCTGTTACTATCTCTACTTTACAGGGAAATTTGAGGATCAGAGTGATTAAAGAATTTGCCAAGGTAACATAGCTAGGAAATGTGAAGCCTGGATCCAAACCCATGTCTGCCTGACTTCAGAGCTCAAGGGAGAAACCTCTGGACTAATTCTCAGATGTACTGCATAAAAGATAATCAAAATATATTTATAATAGGTTTCATCTGATTTTTAAGATTAATATGTACTCTTTTTACATAATCTTTCATGAGGTTATTTCCAATGCTTGTTTCACAATTTCAGGAGTAGAAGTATGTGTTTATGGTACAAGCAAGGATTCAAAATAAGCCCTTTGTACAAATTTATTAAGGAGTATTTCTTTATGTATTGACAGTGTTTATAGTTCACCTCTAGAAAAAAGTACATTTGGAAATTTCCCTCCCACATACCATACTGCAGTGACTTAGGAAACTGTCAAATGAGGTCGGATCACTTGTTTATTAATTTTTGTAGAAGAATCATGCATGTTTAAGCAAACAGCCCTGGAGGAAGAGTAAAAGGCCTATCAGATATCTTCAAGATTAGATGAAAATGTTTAAAGTGTTTCAAAAATCTATTACTTGATTTATTGACCAGTAACCCTGAGGCATTCTATCTTAGGTCATCGCCAAACAGAGGGTACAAGGTACCTAGTGGAACAAGCATGGTTTCTTGATTCACACTCTCAAACCTCCATTTTCTCATTTGTGAAATGGGGTGGTTGTATTGAGATGTATAAAGGCAGCCACCCTTGTCCCTAATTTGCTAATTGTGCTTATTGTAAGACATCTCTGGTGACTTTCACACTAAATATGTATGTGGGAAGTCAGGCTGATTTAGAAATGGGTCCTGATTCTTATTATATAGTTTAAATACAGATACTTTTTGGAGTCCAGCAGACCCAGATTTGTATTCTAGTTTGTGAACCTGAAAGACTGCTTAACTTTTCAGTTTCCATTTCCTTATTGGTAAAAACAATAATTGCCTTAGTGGGGTTGTTTTGAGACTAAATGAATAAGCATACAAAGAGCTTAGCACTGCTTGCCACATAGGTTTGCTCATGTAATAGTAAGAACGACTGAAGAGACCTTCCATAGCACTACTTTAAGAGAAGATGAAACAGTCAGAGACAGGTGACAAAACTGAACCCAACCTATGAGTCAATGTGAGGTCTGTTGGTAGCAAAGGTTAGGTATTGACCCAAAAGATGCTAGATGATACATAATAAAGTAAGGTTCAGAGGTGAAAGTGTAAGCTGGGGGATAAGACAATAGACAACCCACTTACAGTGTGTCATTAGTAATGAGCACCACTAGATAAAAGAATGAGATGATTAAAAAGTTAGAAGCAGCTGTAGTAGTAGTTGGGGAAAAGAAGGTGGGTCTTATGACAGGAGCTCAAGACAGAAGTGCAGAAGTAGAGCACAGATGGTGGTCCAGATAGGAGCAGGACCTTGGGATGGATAGATGAAGAATTGGAAGGGTATAGCTCGCATGCATGTTCCCTTGAAGAGGAGGAAATAGTTTCAGGATTTAACCAGTTTTTGTAAGGTTTCTCCAGTCCAGCTCAGAAGTTCTCAAACCTGTCTGGGTATTAAAATCACCTGGGAAGCCATTTTTTAAAAAATTAGTGTCTTGGTTTCACAACAATGTAAATATACTTAACACTACTCAGCTGTACACTTAAAATGGGTAAGATGGTAAATTTTATATGTATTTTACCACAATTTAAAAATTAAATTAGTGTCTGGGTCCCATCCCTAAAATCAGTATTGTTTTAAAAGCTCCCCAGGTGATAACACTAGTCATACACATTACTCTGTAATTATTTTATGTATGCACATTATGTGCATGTTACATACACATATTAATGTAATTAGCATTGAAAACCACTGTCATTGTTTCCTTTACTAATCAAATAACTTTCCTGCTATTAGCCAGTTGGGGGTCCAAGAAATGCAATACGGTAACCCCATTAGACCTTCTAATGAATTATTTCCTATAAATATAAGAGCTTATATAGCCTCTCAACCATGCCCCAAGGATGTGGGCAACAGAGAAAGTTCAGTGGGCCCCTTGCAGAAACTGAACCAGTTACTACTTAAGTACAAGATGTCAGAAGATTGAATCCAATGTGAACTCTCCATGCAACCTCTCTCTGTTTCTCCCCACCCTTTATGATAAGAATTAATACTTATTGGGTGCTTACTGTGCCAGTTATGATGCCAAGCATTTTACTACATCATTTAATCTTTACAAGCTTCTGAGGTATCATTGCCATCTCCCTTCTAAGCTTAACTGTCTTGAAAACTGTGTTCTCCTGGTGCCCCGCTTTATTCCTGGTACCAAATAAATCTGTTGAATAAATTAGTAAGTCCCTATTTCACAGATACAGTAAGGGATCCAGAGGCTAAGTAACTTGTTAAAGCTAATAACTAATAAAGAGTTGAACTGGTATTGGAACCCAAATCTTGGCTCCAAAGCACACCTTTTCAACCACTATTCTGTGGTATCTACTATCTTCTGCTTTCAGGGCCTTGGCCTCTGTTATCTCTACCCTCTCTATGGCCTATGTCCAGCATAAAGTTTCTCCTGTTCTATACATGTTTAAGACTCTTTTGTGTAAGTAATAGAAACCCAGTTTGAATAAGGTTAAGAAAAATAGGAATTTATTATAAAGATGGTGATGTCTAACAAAATCCAGGGATAATGTAGGTGGGCCTTAGGAACAAATAAATGTAGTGCTTGACCACAGCCAGGATATTTCCTCTCTCCACCTCCAGCTCAATCCCAAATTCTCGGGAAAGGTACATATAGGATGGCTCCTGCTGCAACCATGAGGATAAGGTAGAGAAGGTGGTAGAAACAGGGTGCTGGAGAAACAAAACAATAGATGTTTACCTATAGTCCTCTCTTTATCACCCATAAACACATATGCCATTTTCCCCATATCTACAATTCCAAAGATACCCACACCTAACATAATCCATGGACAACTTCAAGTCACACACAACTGCATCCAGAAGCAATGACATGGCAAGGACATACCCCTTCTTCATCTAGTGTGGTGACAATCTAAACATGACTCCTCTTGATCATGTAACCTTTGATAAACTTAACTGTCACCAATAGATCTTACATGTAACAGCAGAGAAATAACTAGATTAACTACAATCAAAATTCTCTTTTAGAAAAGGAGAGGGGTACACCAGTATTGGCCACCATATGTAAGTAGGCACCATTTCCTCCCAGATACGAATAAATGAAATAAGTTATGGGCACAGAAAAACTTATGAGAGTCAATTTATTCCTTCTTGCAATAAATGCACCTTCTTGTTTAACCAGTCTCTACTTAGGCCTTAGGGAAAGCTCTAGCAGAGCAGTGATTCTCAAACTTGAGAGTACACTGCAATCGCTTAGAGGTGAGACCTACAAAAACTCTTGACACAACACTTATTCGAAGCCCTGCACTAACAGCCTTGACCAAAAAGAACTTATAATTGTGAATTCTTCCCCTGTCCCTTTAAGAGATACAGGTGACCCTTGAACAACATGGAGTTTAGGGGCGCTGATCCCCTGCACAGTCAAAAATCTGTGTATGACTCGATTCCCCCAAAATTTAACTACTAGCAGCCTACTGTTGACCAGAAGCCTTACCAGTAACATAGTTGATTAACACACATATTGTTATATATATTATATAGCCTGTTCTTAAAATAAAGCTAGAGAAAAGAAAATGTTTTTTCAAATTGTCACAAATCTCAAAAAATGTTTCCAGTATACATATTTTTAAAAATCTGCATTTAAGTGGACTCAAGCAGTTCAAACCCTTGTTGTTCAAGGGTCAGCTGTATTTGTATCTCATACAACTTCGTTCATCTCAAAGACCAGTCCTTTGGAATGTAATCCTCAGAAAGGCTAGGGCCTCTGTCTCCCAGTCTCTGCGGGAGGATAGCATCCTTACTTCGAAAATTGCCAGCTGAAAGACACAGCTGGCCTAATTGCATTTACACTGACCAACTCTTTGTGATTTTTCATTTCCCTGACTATTGAACCCCACTTCCTCTTCTCCCTTTAAAACATTAGGTCACCTTTGCACAAATGGGAATGGAGCTCAGTTCTTTCCCCTACTGGCAGTAGTTACTGAAAAAATCTGTTTTCATTGCTTAAGCTAATGTCAAGCTTTGTTTACCTTTAACACCACTTAAACCAAAGATTTATGGCCCCACGCTGAGAGTTTCTGACTCTTGGAGGTCTGGGGTAAGGCTCAAGAATTTACATTTCTAACACTTTGTAGGTGATGGTGATGTGCTGGTCCAGGGACCAATCAATACTTTGAGAATCACTGCCCTAGCTCCTTGTCACTGTGCACCAGATATTATTTTCTAGTGTTAAAACTTCCTCAAATCCTCATTTGACTGCCTGATTTTATTTGAGAGGACTCAGAATGCTAATTACAAGTGCAAAGAATCTTGTCAAGTTATGCTCTTTGAGTCTTCAGATTTGCTAAAGGAAATCTGTTGGAGCTTCTATTTCCTAGCACTCTACCTAAGTACTTAGTTGCAGCTTCTATTTCTTAGCATTCTACCTAAGGACTTAGTTCATTCTCCCTGGCTCTGCTCTCCCTGCATTTTGCTCAAGATCTCCAGTTCACAGGTTGGATAG